GTCCCTTCCGACCCTAAATCTATGAAACTATGAAACCCATAGACTTAGTTCACCCAGAATTGATGCATTTTATCTTCTTTGAAATAGCTGCAAGTTTTAGCACAGATACTCCATAAACACACTGTTAAGCACTTTTGCACCTACTTATAAATAGTACAAACTATGCATATTAGTCCAAAGGCTAATCACATTTGACAGGCTGAGAGAGGGGGCAACAGAGGGATTTTTGGGTGACCTGTTTGGGGACCCATTTGATGATATTTGCCAGACATTTAAAGCTAATGAAGAAACGGGAATCATTGGAAAAGGGAAAGGCAAGCACAGCTCGGTTGTTGGAGTGAAGAGGAATTCAAAATATATTGGAAGTAGTGGCTCACTGTGACTTGAAAAAGAGTCAGTGCTGAGTGGGACTGAGTGCAACTGGTGTTGTCATGTATCTTATTCAAATGAGGTACACTAACATATCCTTGTTGGCTACATTTAGGAGAAATGCCATGTATCTGTGTCCATGAAGGCAGTTTTCCTTAAGCATTCCTTGGGATAACTGTTCTTCTGGCGTGGTTTAGTACCTGCTGAAGTATTGGGGCTTAAAGCCCACTTTATGGAAATGGGAGGCTCCTCCCTAGCTTGCTTCTATGGCCATATGGCTGAGGGCAGGTGAAACTTGGAGGCATCCGAACCCAAGCGTCCGGGCTTGGGTCTGCATGTAGGATGCCTGCCAAAATATCTGAAGCCCCTGGTGGTGGTGAAGGATGTTTGCTGGTTATAGGGCCGCTTATGGTTCTGGACTGACTCACAGATTTGGACTTGATTTGGCTTGGAATATGAAAAACTTCTTTAAAAAACCCAAAAACTACATTTAATCAACTTCATAGTTCGTTTCCATTATTGAGCATATGCTGCTTTTGATACCAGTTTAGTAATGGATAATGTGTTTAATGAGGTTTCCTTGTATGCGAATGTAAGATGATGAGCCTTTTTTCCCCAAACTGTTTCAGAAGGGAAACCTTGTCTCGTATTTGAAAGATAAAGTGGCTCACAAAGGTAACTTTGCTGTAATAAACTTTTGCCCAGCATTTAATGTCACACATAATTTTGATTAAAAACACGGGTGACTGGTGCCTCCTGATCCTGCAGCTGATTGCCGACCCGGCGGGGATGTGTCTCCCAGCAGCCAATCACCACCACCAGTGGCAAACCCAGAAGTTCCACTGGTGCTTCTCTTGGCACCCCCACATTCTTAGGGGGGCACTGTCTGTTGCCCTCAACTCCCTGGCCGGTGAGGGCTAGTCTCAGGGGGGCATGTGCCTCCCCTACACGTCACCAATTATTAAAAATTACACTATGCAAAATTAACATGGCTTATGGAACTGAGTAGATATCAGCTAATTGAGCATAATCAATAACTGGAGGTGTCTTGAGCAGAGTTCCTGAAGGCTTGATTCTCAATCATTGTTCAGACTACCATTATTTATATCAAAAGTCTGAAATAATATAAATCTAGTTACTCTCTGATAAAGCTTGTAGTTGGCCTACATTTGTCATATGCTAAATGAGAAGGCCTAGTTATTGATTCAGAGCAATCTGCCTCATTTGGCAAATAACCAGTCACTTGGACCTAGTGAGAGGTATTTAAATATATCCAAATACAAAGTCACACATCTAGAACAGAGACTGTTGGCCTGTTTACAAGATGGGGACCTGTATCCTGGCACATAGTGGTTTGGAAAAAGGAATTGGGGTCATAGGAAATCAAATTGCTATGTTGTGGTAAAACATCCTTACATAATCTTTGAAAGAAAAAATAAGGAAATATTGATCATGAATAAAGACATGATATTATGTCTGTATGAGACACTGTAGAGATCACTACTGGGAAGGTAGAGGATTCAGAGAAGAGCAACAGAATAACGACCTGCAATCTGGAAAGTGCAACTTTATCATGAAAGGCTTAAGGAGCAAAATATATTGACTTTATCAGAAAGAAAGTTAAGAGATGATTTGGTTGTGGCTTATACAGATAAGAAGATATCTGATACTAGAGGGTTTTTGAATCCAGCAGACAAAAGCATAGCAAGATCCAAAGGCTGGAAATTGAAGTTGTAAAAATCCAAATGGGAAATTAGATGATTTTTTTTTTTAACAATGAAGATAATTAAACACTGGAAAAACTACCAAGGGATGTGGTAAATTCTCATTCACTTGTAGTCTTTAAATAAAGATTATATGTCTTTCTGCAAAGAATACTATTTCAACCACAGTTTTGGGTTAAACACTAGAATTACTGGGTGACTTCCTAGAATCTGTTATACAGCAGGTCAGATTAGATGATCTGTGTAATCAGATTAAATGATACCTGTCTTTTAGCCTTAAAATATTCATGGAGCACATTTTAGCTGGTATATATTAGCATAGTTTAAAAAGAGAGACTACTTTTATACTAATGAAAAATGTGTGTGCAAATCTTCGTTTCAATTTTCAAGCAACTCTGAGAGGTAGGTAACCATGTTTGAAGTCAAGCAGAAGGCAAGGTAGAGATGCACCTTATCGAATAACTAGATCTCTACCCTGCCTTCTGAGTCTAAATTCATCAGGACGTTACTGGAGCTCTGAAATATTATAGCCTAAAATCTGAGTTCCATGGACTTTATACACTTTCCTTCTATAGCACCTTTTATCTGAGAACCCCTGAATTATTTTCAAATATTAATTAAGTCTTCTGTCCAGTACATGGGGAATGTGCAGCATAAAAGAGGATAGGTGACAGGATGGGACTGTGCCTGGGCTTCTAGCATACTGGCTCAGGTGTGGGGATTTTTCACTTCCAAGATCCCCAGTTCTGGAGCAGCCATGTGAGATTAGCTGGTAATCCCACACTTCTGTCCTAGTTCTTTAATAGCCAGCAATGCCAGGGCTTCCAGGATCTCTTCTGTTGAGCTGGCAACCTGCAAGCCTTGGCTATAAGTAGAGCCACAGACTCTTGGATTCGTGGTGGCTGCTCTGAACTCCACATTCTTGATATTCAGCAGCAAACCTGCCAAGCATGCCAATATGAGTTTCTTCATGTTCCAAGAAACACATTTTGTTTGGGGAACACCTGTGTCAATAGCTCCAAGACAGAATTTCTGTAAAATTTGGGCTTGCAGGAAAACTTTAAAATGTTTGTTTTGGTTAAACTGTGACTGAAATCAAATAAAGTTCCTGTGAGCCAAGGATCCTTTATTATTTTGGCCTTCTGTGGTCAACAGTTAAGCTGGCACAAGAACTCGGATCTCCTGACTACCTGTTCTGTGTCATTCCTACTTGTGCGGAAGACCGATCAAAACCTGAAAGCTGAGCATGGCTTTGGTATCAGCCCAGGCTTGTCTAAACAGTTTATGAACCTTAATGAAACTTTCAGTGAACCCAGATGGTTTTGAGTTGCCAGCATAACCAACTACATTCTTCTTGATTTTGGGGTTTTACTGTGAACATTTTGCACAGCCCAGCTAACCACAGGTATAGCGTTTCCTTACTCAAAAGTAGTGCTTCTGCAGATCAAAAGCAGCATGTGTTGGATTTGGAGTGGGGAGGGGGTAAAAATCTTTGGAAAGTTATTGTAAAATGTTTTTTATGATTTGACATTGTGTTGTGGGAGAAAAGTTCAAAGCTGGAGAGTAAAAACCACAGTTTATACACCAGCCTTCTTTAAATCTACTTTGTGGTATTTGGATGCAAGCGTTACGAAGGGTGAGTGGGAAGGAAGCAGGGAAGGATGAAATGCGGTATAGGACTTGAACAGTGTCCTTATGGGCAAATATTAAATTATTCAAGGTTAATGGAGAGAAAATGCCAGACGTTCCCCTTGCCAGCTGAAAAAAGCAACAACATTTTTTTCTGGTTGATTTTTTTGCTATTGTAGGCTTATGATCTGAAAATGAAAAGGGCTGTTAATCCCTTCTCAGCCTTCTTGTCCACCACCCTGGATAGTTTGGATAAAGCCTTGCATGGTGGAGTGGCCTGCGGATCTCTCACTGAGGTAAAATTATTTAGTACTTTTCACTATGTTAGCACTGCAGAGTCGCAACTAGGTGGGGCTCCATTTTATCAGGCACTGTACACATATAAGACTGTAGACAGTCTTTGACCATAAGAGTTTCAAATCTACACACACAGACACAAAAAATGTGGGGTGACTTGTTCACTTCTGTAGCATGTTTGCTATATTTTACTTCTACTTTGAAAGATCTAGAGGACAGAAGGATTTAAGAGATTACTTAATTTTTTTTATTTATTTTTTAAAATTTAATTTAATTTAATTTTTTTGCTTAAAATTTACTGTTGACTTAATTGTTCGTCCTTTGCGTGAAGCTGATCACATCCAGTGGGGTGGGGAGAAGAGAAATGGGAAAGAAACAGGGAGGGGGAAAAAAGAGAAAGAGGGAAAAAGGAAAAAGAAGAAGAGAGAAAGGATGGGGTGGAGGCTAGATCACATGGGTACGTAAGTGATTTATAAGCCCAATCTTTACCTTGAACAGTCTGCTGCAGTAGGGGCAATAAAGTGATGAGGACTGGGTACAAGAGGTTTTTGATTTCCTGGCCACATGTTTCTTCATTGCTTTTGCCGTGAGTTGTTGTTTGAAGGCCAGTGCTTCTGGATTGATGACCTCCAGGATGGACGGTTGCAAGCAGTTTGCTCCCATGAATCCGGGTCATGCCAGAACTCTTTAGGGACACCTTTAGGGTGTCCTTGTATCACTTTCATGTGCCGCGAGAGCATACTCCATTTGACAGTTTGCTGTAGAAGACTTTCTTCAGCAGGCGAGTGTCAGGCATTCTTGAAAGGTGGCCGGCTCATCTTGGCTGCACCAGTTTCAGTAGAATGTGAATACTGGGGAGAGTTGATCTTCCGAGTACCTCGGTGTCCGGAATCTTGTCCTGCCACTTGATCTTTAGTATCTTTTGCAGGCAGTAGAGGTGGAAGTGGTGTAGTTTCTTGACATGATGCTGGTAGGTGGTCCAGATTTTGCAGGTGTAAAGGAGGGCTGGGAGAATGATGGCTTTGTATACCTTCATCCTTGTTGACATTCCAGTACCTCTGAGGTCCCACACCAACTTACGGAGTCTGCTGAAGGCTATGCTGGCTTTCACTAGTCTTGTGTTTACTTCATTGTCCATGTGGACAGCACGGGAGAGTGCGCTGCCTAGATAGACAAAGTTGTCAACCATCGACAGTTGTTGACCTTTAACTGAGATTTGTGGTTCCTGGGTGTTGTGCCAGGCACAAGTTGAACATCATTTCTGTCTTCTTCATGTTAATAGTGAGTCCAAAGTTGTTGCAGGCTGACGAGAATAGGTCCATGGACTACTGCATATCAGCCCGCAAGCCTGTGCATAACACAGTTGTCTGCAAAGAGGAAGCCATGAAGTGTGGCTGTCTGGACTTTGGAGCTTGCTTGGAGCCTGCCAAGGTTGAAGATGTCTCCATCAAAACAGTACCAGATCCCCATACCAAGGTCATTGTCTTGAAAGGCATCCAACAGCATGGCGGAGAATACTGTGCTTAAAAGGGTAGGTGTGAGCACACAGCCCTGCTTGATGTCATTTGTGACTGGAAAGGGGTCAGAGCATTCACCATTCACAAAGACATGTGCCATCATGCCGTCATGGAACTGTCAAATCATATTGATGAATTTTTTGGGCATCTGTACTTCATTTGTACTTTGCAGTTCATCACGTTGAAGGCTTTGGTTAAGTCAGTGAATGTGAGGAGATGGTTGATGTTCTGTTCCTGGCAGCTGGGCTGCAAACACCATGTTGATGGTTCCACGTCCTTTTTTGAAGCTGCATTGGCTCTCGGGCAGTAGGTGGTTTAGATGGTCGGTCAGCTGGTTGAGGAGGACTCTTGCAAGTATCTTGCCAGAGGGAGATGCCCCTGTGGTTGTCACACAGTTGGCGATTTCCTTTCCTCTTTTATAGGTGGATGATGGAGGTATCCTTGAATTCTTGAGGGACTACCTCCTGCACCCATATAGTGCAGAAAATCTTGGTTAGCTTCTCCATGAGGTCGTGACCACCTGATTTGTAGATCTCCATTGGAGTTGCATCAGCTCCGGGACCTTTACCACTAGACATTTGTTGTATGGCCTTTTTTGGACTCCTTGGTTGTAGGCAGAGCTTCAAGCGAGGTGTTGACAGCGATTTGAGGCAGCTTGTGTGTGGCATCCATGTTGATGGAAAAGGTCCAATTTAGGACGGCACTCAAGTGTTCAGCCCATCTCTGGAGGATCTGAGCCTTGTCAGTTAGCAGTGTGGTCCTGTTGGCAGACAGCGGAGGCAGGGATCTGAGGACCTGTGGACCACAGACGGCCTTTAGGGCATCAAAGAACTTCTTTGCGTTGTTTTGGTCAGCGTAATGCTGAACCTCTTCTGCTTTGTTCTTGAGCCATGTGTCCTACATTCCTCACAGTTTGCTCTGAATGGTCTTCTGTATTAAGCTATAGGTGTGTTGTGCTGATGCAGACATCACAGAGGTAGACTCTGTGAAGGCGTTGTTTCTCTTCCAGCAGTTGTTTTATCTCATCGTCATTTTCATCAAACCAGTTTTGGTGTCTGCAGACACTTGGTCCCAGCGTCTTGAGCTGAAGAGTGTATAGCTTCACAAAGTTGCTTCCAGTTGGCTTCGATGGAGCTGGAATAAAGCAGTATAGCATGAAGCTGATCTTTCAGATGGTTTACAAAAGGCAACTGTGCGAGCGTGGTGCTGTCATTATAATCCCAGCAGTATTGAGGCGCTTCGGTCCACCTACCTCGTCCTTGCAGGTGCCATTTACATTGAATTGTGATCTTTAGTGAAGAGATGATGAGTCGATGATCAGTCCAGCATTCAATGCCACACATTGGATATCGCGTCTGTTTCTCCTTTGGACGATGACATAGTTGATAAGATGACAATGCTTGGAGTGGGGGTGTATCCATGTTTGTCTTTTTTCGGTTGGGAGATGGGACACAATGTTAGTAACCAGGAGCTCATGGTTAGCACATAGTCTGAGCAGGACAAGACCATTTTTATTGCAGCTTCCAATCCCATACGTCCTGATGACTCCATCACATGCTTGGCAGCCAGAGCCAGTCCTGGCTTTGAAGTCGCCAAGGACGATGAGACAGTCAGACTTCAGTACAACAGCAATCACAGAGTGAAGGTCATCATATAACTGGTTCTTGACTTTGTCATAGTTGGTCATGGTAGGGGTGTACACAATGATGATAGTGACACACTTTTTGCTAAGCAGGGGGAGCCTGAGCATCATCAGTGGGTCATTCACTCCCTTGGGCAGGTAGGTCAGCTTCTTGATGAGGCTGTTTTGTATAGTAAAGCTGACACCTGCTTCCCATTTGGCTTCACTGCCACAACCACTCCAGAAGAATGTGTAACCAGCTTTTCTTTCTGTGAGCTGCCCTTCGGCGGGTAGGCGAGTCTCGCTGTGGGCAGCAATCTGGACATTGTATCTCCCCAGTTCTCTCCCAATGAGGGCAGTTCTCCTTTCAGGTCTGTTGGTGTTTCCATTGGTCAACATACACATGTTCCATGTGCCCAGCTTGAGAGGGATTGATTTCTTTCCCTTTTGACTGCTGTCCCTGCCAGCCCCAGTATGCTGGCCAGGGTGAGGTGAAGCAGACAATGTTTGGGGCATCTTTTCTAGCCCCTTCCTCATTCTAGGAGGTGAGCGGTGCGGTCCCGAATAGGGCTGCTCAGTCACTCGGGGGCTGCCAAATTCTACTTCTGCTTCTGTCCAGTAGAACGTGACCCAAAGCCCTGAACCGCCTGCGTGCAGGTTTGCAGCTACAGCTTTCAGTGTGTCCACAGCTGCTGCTTGGTCTCTGGCCTGTCACCACAGGGCTTGTGCTGTATGTGAGTTGCACAGGATTTAGATTTAAGTGAGGAAGAGTGGTGCAGCGTCAGCCTCACTCTCTTGCCTGAGCCAACTAGTAACCAGTGGCAGGATGGCTGGAGATTGGCCCAGATACAAAATGGCAGAAGATTGGCCCAGATAGGCCCAGATACAGTAGATGATCAGGACGCCTTTTGTGCCTTGTCCTGCTCTGTGCAATCCATGGCAAGGTGCTGTACTGCCATCATGGCCATTGGACCATACAAGGGTCTCATCTGCCCAGTCAGCTGGAATTAGACTTTGTGTGCAGGGATAGGTATGTCCTTATCTCCCCAGATGTGTAAGACCGATTGGGTACCTTAACCTGATTTGGCCTGCCCTTCGAGGCATTTTACCGGGGTGTGGCTGCTGTCACGTGCAGACAGCTACTTGGAGCCACAGGTGAGAATTGAGTGCTAGTGAGGACCAACAGAGAAAGAGTCACTCAGGTGAGCGCGACATACTCTTTCCCTGAGGTTCTACCTCTCCCAGACACCCCACTGCTGACTTGCAATTCTTCTAATGATCAAAATCATAAAAGCTTTGTAGTTTATGGAGCACAAATACACCACTGTCACTTTAGAAGTGACAAATATAATTTTTGTAAACTGTTAGAAGGTATCTTTGTAACATAATAGAACAGGGCCATCTTGTTTAGTGGTTGGAGCACAAAACTCTTGAATCATAATTCTATTCCTGATCTGACTCACTTGGTGACCTTGGCAAGTCATTTGTTGTCTTAAAGCTACAACGGACAATTTTGCTAAAGAGTGTAAGCATACAAGGGTAAAAAATAATTTTTGCAAGACTGGCCACATGTAGCTAAGGCTATTGGAAAATTATTTAATGTACATGGTCATTTAAAAAGTGTGAAACCATAGTTAAAGGTGGTACTATAATTTGTACAAAGATGAAGTTGAAATTGATATATAAAACTTCAACTTTTTCACTTCTTGGTTATTGAGTATAATCATGAAGTTTTTAACATGGAATTTCCTAGAGCGAGCTTCATTCTCTGTTACTTAGAAACTTTAGAAATTGACAGTTATTCATACATATTCTGTAACTTGGAAGGGCAGTAGTAGGCTAGATACTCCTGTGAAGCCCA